TCAGAAAGATCATAATTAATATGTTACTCATTTAATTTCGCAACCTCTGGTAAATATAAAATGTATGTACATTCAAACGAGATAATAGCAAAAAAAAAAAAAAACATAGCTTGAAAGTTCATACTACATGCATTATTGTCTTTGATGAAATTACATCCTCATATCTGTTTTAGTCTGACTCGTCAATATCATAGGAAACTCCTGGCATTGGTCTAATCGGATTCCCAAAAAGATCTTTTTCATAATGTCTTGGGTTGCAGAAATGCACGGCTGTACCAGGATTTGGCCACTTCATAACCATTCTCTCATAACCACTGACGTGAATGAGTCCCAGTATAAAAGCCATTGGCCAGAAGATGTGCATCTTTTTGTATTTCTTCACTGTAAAATAAAAAAGATAACTTTATACATAATGGAATGATAAAACCATCTAGGATTTGACAGTTGGAATATCAGTTCAGAAATTATATATTCATCATACAGATTCAGATTAAATTCAACACAAGATTTAAATTCCATAAAGCTCTTTTTTGGGGGGCCAGAAGAAGATTTTCATACTGGGATATACAATAGTGCTGAGCAACGATGCCGATAATCTATAACATTGCAATTAGTTCAGCTGTAAAAAAATTTTGTATTGTCACTATTGTGATATGTTTTTTACAGTACCAAAATACATGTAGTATTCACTCAAAATGGAATTTCTTAAAGTAAAATATGAGATTTTTAAAAGATGTCATATTGTTTTCAATTTGCAAACACTATTAAAGGTTGTTGTTGAATGGTTGTTTTTCATAAACAAGAATTTTTTTGCTACAACTTATTTATAGGGCCTAATAGATATTCACTTTGCTTATGAATTAAGGTTACTGAGTAGGGATGGGTATCGCCAAAAATTTCGTATTGCGATATATCACTTTTTCCCAAAATATAACGATAATATCATAATATTTTTACAGGCAATTTTTACAATGATTTTAAATTAACAGTCCTTATTTTTCTTAAAAATATGCTAGAAAAACAAAATTTCACTATTTTAAATTTTTTTGTACATAAAATTAATCATGTTTGGATGGTAAGATGCCGTTCTTTTCACCTTTTACAACATTTTTTAGACTTTCAGTGAGTGAAAATTGAAATATTGAACAAATAATGAATAATTCCTGGACTTTATAATATGTACCTATATAAGATATCGGTATTTGGGTCTCCGTATCACAATACGTATCATGCAACAAAAAATCGCGATATACCAGTATATCGATAAAATTGCACATCCCTATTAGAGTTAGGAAAAGATCATTTTTATTGTTACTGAAAATGTTCCTGAATAAATATATTCCAATATAATCACACAATATCCAGTTTTTGAAACTGGGTGTAAAACTAACTAGACACACAGGCTGACTGCTGGTAAAGGCTGTCAGTCCTGCCAAAAATAGACTAGTCTGAGAAAAATGTGGTCTTTTATAATTTTATAGCAATTATGTAACTAAGACCAAGTTACCACAACTTTCTTTCCTAATCTATAGACTGATGAATTCTGCCCCTTTATTTGTTACACTTTGTTAGCGATACTCTTAGTTGTTTTGAGACAGAGTTTATAAAATATGAATTTGAATCATCACAAATTTTACCACTCCCAGCTAGGCATCAATACATGTAAATTTGTTTGCCGCAGCAAATTTTTTTTCATCCTGGGGGGTCGGGCAACAGCTACATCAAACATTATTAATCTGTTATAATGTAATAAGAAATTCACAGCGGATTATACCCAGTCCTAATATAATAAAGTCCCGCGCCACAGCATGATAAGCCCGTCAAAAAATACAATTTTTTTAACAGTTTAGGTGCAAGAAAATCACATCTACCTTGATTCTCAGATTTCGATGATTTTTCCATTCCTTAAAATATTTATCCATCCCCTGTGATGTAGGCATCAATTGTAATAAATATTACATCACCGATAGATTTCTGTGCTGGTTGTGTTAGACCTTGTCAAATGCCCATCATCAAATTAGTCTTAACAACTTAATCTATACCAACTTAATTTTGAAAAGAAAAGTCTGGCCATCAAATGACATATGTTATAATAAACTGACCAGCAGTTCTTCTGTCTAATCCCCAAAGGGTACAGATAAGACTGAGACAGCTAGCCTTCCTACATTGAACTCATTAATTAATCTTTAACTGGATGCTTGTCTACTCATTACTACCAAGAGATGACTGGGTCTGCACTATTTTTTAGTTTGATGATTGTAGGTCTTATAGTTTTCTAGTTATGGGCCGGAAAGGATTTTTCCATATTTGGCTATAACTTCTTAATTAAAGGTCAGAGCGACCTACTTTTTGTGCGCGACACACCTTCTACCCAAGATACATCAGATGACAAAGTTTGATAATCCTAGGCCTAGTAGTATTAAAGTTATGAGCCGGAAACGAAAAAGCTAACAGACAGACGGACGGACACGAAGCCTATAACATAATACGTCCCGTCTTAAGACGGGCGTATAAATATACTGAATATTATTCATTATGTAAAATTTAAATGAAAGAAACCTTAAATCAAAAAATTTATATTAGATCATGCAGAGTTGCAAAAACGCTAACAGAATCTTATTATCAATGTGGTAAATAAAAATTCCAAAACAGTTCCCCACAGTTTGACCCTACATGTACCTTCAAAGTACTCTTTTTCAGTTTCCTACGTTACACATGTTATACCGTAAAATTTAATGTACATGTTCTTGTTTCCATAATTGAACAGAAACTCGGTTTCTGTTTAATCTGTGAGTAGAGAATTGCATGGGTTGTCCTAATGTATTTCTTGTGACAAGACCTTCATTTGGGTATATACCAACATCTTTTATCTCCTTACTTTGAGTTTGGAATATGACTTGAATGTATTTTTTTGGAAAAAAAAATACTTTAGTAACAATACTTACAGATAGGGCCTTTAACTACAGCCCAGGTGGCATTGGCAGCAAAAAACACCCCATATAAGTTATCTCTGTCAAAGTATGTGTTCCAGGCATACCAAGACGCCCCGAAGAATAATGTAGAGAACACTGAAAAAATAATAAATACATCATTTCAGTTAGATTTAACCAAGATTGTGAACCATAATTCAGATTATTCAGAGCAAAATTCATTCAACCCAAGCTCACTTTTTTTTTTGAAAACCTGGTGATGTATTCAGAAAGGTCCTATTAAGTGTGTGTGCATGTTCTTAAATAATTAATATCTGCATTATTGGCCCTTATATAAGCACAGGAATATTACTGAACTTACTTCCCAAAGGTACATTTCTTGCCAACAGTTGTGCAAAATAGCGTGCAGTACGAGATCCTGGATTTTTGGGGTGAGGTAAAATGTAGCAGTCCGCCAATGAGAAATACACCCCTGTGAATAGAAAAATTTGTAATCTTTTAAGACTTTTTTTTAATATTGATCACTTAGTCACGATGATTCAAAACTGTATGTAAAAGTCGGTAAAACTCATACTGACTGCAAAAAAGGAATTCTGCAAATTAGGGATAGCAACCGATTGCAGAATTGCCAATCAGTTTACCGCGCAAAACGTTCCGACCGTTTAACCAGTTACATGTAGTTGTTTCAAGGTATACATTTTGACATTTTCTTTTCATATACACAAAAAGGCTAAAAAAGATGTTTGAAGTTACATTCTGTTTATTATTTTGATCGGGGAATTTTATATATTATACATAAGAGTATTTCTTACTTCAATTTCAATAGAAAGAAAACCAGAAGTCTCTGTCGAGACTGAAGCTCTACTGGTTTGTACGTATAACAAAGGAAAAGAAAAGTAATCAAGGTGTTGGGAATTGAAACTTCACAACAGCAATAAACCAATAAACAGAATAATGATCCTTGATTAACTTCAGTCTTTTTATGTTCTTAGTGTAGTCTTCTTGCATGCCACATTATATTATAATCAGACTAAAACTGTATTTGAAGTAGCATTTTGAGAGTATTTAACAGAAATTTCTATTTTTAGTAATCAAGGCACTGAAGGCAATAATGTTCGTCGAAGTCAAAAACCGATATGCAGAATTGTGTATCATAGTGTAGTCTACTTGTGTGCCAAGTTATATTGAAATCAGACCAATCTGTAGGAGACATAATATTTTGAAAATTTTTTACAAATTTCCATTTTTAGTAACCACGGCAACATCGTTCATCAAAATCAACAACCAAAACACAGAATTATAAATATGTACCTAGTGTAGTCTACTTGTGTACCAAGTTATATTGAAATCAGACCAAAACTGTAGGAGACATAGCATTTCGAATCTTAGTACATATGAAAAGTCAAAAAATGTGATTTTTGGTCTATTTCTAACAAAAATCATTTTGTTAATAATTGCATGTAAATAGCTGAATTTTAATTTAACCAAATAAAGGTAAATAGCTATTTCAAGCCTATTATAAATAGCAAAAGATTGTACTGGACCTGGGTATATCATTCGATTAAAAACAGAATTGCCTTTTACGCCATAATCTCTGACTGCAATGCACCTATTTATTATATTAAAAATAATGTACTTTTTAGGTAAAATCCATAATATTTTTTTACCATATACAAATCCGGCTTTGCCAAGAATGTACATCTTTTTGGTTGTATTATTTCTAATGTCACCAAAGAACAAATGATATTTCGTAACTTTGTCCCATTCTGTAGGCTCTTCTAATATTTCTCGCCGATATTTTTTCTTAAATTCAGGAGGAAAACCCTGCAGACCATATCCAGGCATTTTCCTAACAAATTCTATCCTATGCCCTTGGCATAGAACAGATACCTAGTAACAGTTTCGTAGTTTCATTTTCACATTGTTTCCATTTAGTTTTAAAAAGATAAAATAAATAACCACTAGGTTGTCACAATATCTTATATCTAATATCAGATAATATTCTGAAATCTATCCTAAAGTTTCTCTTAAAATCTTTACATAAAATACGGAGTGGCGGCTGGCCTAGTCTCCACCGGAAGTGACAAAGGAAAACAAACGTCCACATGGCTGGCGAAAGGTGACTGCGGTTTTGAAGTTTAATTAGTGATGTAAGAATGAATTCCTGAATATGGGGAAAACGAAGAATAAAAAATTCAAAATAGAGAGACCAAAACCAACAGGTTTGATAAGTGTTAAAGATGCAGAGAATGAAATGGAACAGAGTACAGACTCTCCAAACAGTGACTCTATTCATTCCTTGCTCGAGAAGGTAAATAATATGTTGACGGTGCGACCGTTAGGGCGAGCGCAGATACTTATCCAGTTTCCATTTAGATAGAACTCGTCAAATCGCACATGACATTCGGTGCGTACAAGACTCTGACGTCATCTGACGTCGTTTGCATGTTGCTTTAGGCAGTGTCTATATGCACGACCGTCGTGCACTTACCTTTTCAACGGTTATTCGCACGACCGTCGTGTACATAATTTTTCAGTGGCTATTTGCACGACCGTCGTGTATATTAATTTTTCAGTGACTATTTGCACGACCATCGTGTTTTTTATTATAATATTTATCAGCTGGTCGCACGACCATTATATATATTTATTCATACCGTTACGTACCTTCACTTATTATGGCATTTGTTTTTCGTCCCCAGTTAAGTTCGGAACGCAGTAATTAAAGTACAAAAAGACATTTTGGCAAGAAAACATCGCAAAAACTAATTTTCGTGATATTAATTTATATAATTAATTGACATTTGGGTCCAATGGGCAGGTCGTTGTAATGTAAATTTGTTTCTATTAGAACTACCCTTGTATTTGTATTTAATTAATAAAATAGTTGCTTACCAGGCGCGGATCCAGGAATTGAAGTTAGAGGGGGCTCCAAAAGTAGGCAAGGGGTCTGGGGGCCGCCTTGAGGCCCCCAGTGGGTCCAGAGCAAAGCCCTGGTGGGGGCCCAGGTGGCGAAGCCCCCGGAAGCTCCTGGATTCTAGAGATTTTATAGGGTAAAAATGAGGTCTACCAAGTAGACATATTTACATTTTCTAGACGAAACTGTGATTTACGTAAATTTTGACAATTTTAGGGGCGCGCGCCGGGTGCGCCCCCCTTAAATCCGCCACTGCTTACTATTTTGGTAGGTCTGGGTTTACCCTATCCACCAGAGCCAGGACGCATTTATAAGCATTTCGCCTACTTTAGTATTGATTTCTTAATACACTTTTTAACCAAAAAAAAATTGTCATAAAACCTTACTTACCTTAGTTTTATAGTGTTATACACATGAAATTTCAAATTAAACAATAATCATGATAATGATATTTAAATGTTGATATAGTTCCCTAAATACACTATTTATTAATAAAAATCACCAAGTTTATGTAGGGAGTATGTAGTAAATATTGACGTGTGTATCTAAACGATGACAAGTATTAGCTTTCCTAAAAAGTTTGTCTGACGTGGTTTGCTTAAATTTATAAGCGTAAAGAAATAAATATTATGTTATATAATTTCTTTCGTTCGATAATATATCTTCAAGAGACCATGTGTAATCAATATTGTATACAATACTGTACAAAGAACATTAAATTTAAGCTCCTGGCTCCAGGATCATGAAACAAACTTTTTCTTTAGTCAAATTATTAATCATTGGATTTATTTCTTCATTTGCACATAACAACATCTCTGTGAAACAATATTAAAAAATATTGTAATTCTGGTCTGCTTGACTTTAACAACATTTTATTATAAAATAAAGATTTTGATCGACTTAGGCTTAAGATGTTTCAAGATCCCGAGTCAGCAGTTTTCAAGATATGTTTTATATGTTAAATGACCTAACTGATTTTTTATTCAAAAAACAGAATAAAATGGAGGTTGTAAATAAATCTAGTACTGTCTGGTCAGACAATGATGAAATCAATGTGAAGATCTTTGCCCAATCACTGAATGGCGCGTATAAACAGCGATAACAATCTTGGCAGAGCGTTACACATGCTGACCATATTCCCCTGCTGTTCTTGAAAGCTTTCACTGCTTCGCAAACCATTTGATGTACAATGATTCTCTACTTAACACTATTACGTGATTGATTGATGAAATTTTGAGCTGAAGTATCTAGGAAAAGAAACAAGAAGATGCAAACTAATTTACAATGTAATATCATCCATAATATAATCGCTGGATAGGAGTTAAAGGCAGAGATTTTTTACCGGGTGGTAAATTCCAGGTGAGGGAGGGGCTTATTCTGTACAGGTGTGAATGCCTTGGGGGCTACCAGTCTACCTGTGGTCATTTGTCTCCTAATCACTATACACAGGAAGTGATTTAATACACAGTGAAATACCCAGGTGTCAAACTTTACCTGTGTTGGGGATTTTGAGAAAATTTTTAAATTAGTAGTAAAAAGGTTTTTCAATTATTTATATATTTTTGACTGTTTGAATACACCCCTACCCATGAAATTATTATGATTAATATACTATAAATTCAAATATTAAAATAAAGATTATTTAAGATGTTAGTGTATGTGTTAATTTAAAAAAAAAAACAACTCCTGTGACAACCAAATTAGACTTTAATAATTCATTCATCCTCAGAATCCCATCTATTAATTAAATGAAAAAGGAGCCATGTTAACTACATTTCACTAAAAAAATTTCTAGGATTTTCAAAACCTTAATATGGCTTTGTCACCATGAAACATATGCTAAAAAACAATTGCTTGTAAATTCTTATCTGGATAAAAAAGGAAAATATAAGTGACCCATGATAAGAAACATTTTTAAATTTAATTACATCACACAGTGCTGCTCTGAACTTTATCAATAACATTTCCAGTCTAGGTTTACTGTTTAGCATATTAAAATTAATATTCAAATTTCATTTGAAAAAAGAAGATTTTATGTATCAAAGGATTTTTTTTTTAAATGCTTATTATATTATAATCCTTTTAAATACTAAAGATATATTAAAATCATATATTATCAATCTAAAAATTACATAGCAATACAGTTTCTGTATACCATGTTCAGTAAACATCAAAGGATCAAAAGTTAATTAGAAGGTCACCACGAGTCCCAAAGAAGGTGTACAGGGTATACACAGGGACCAGTAAGTAAATGTCAATCAAGTTCCAGCATCCAGTGATGGACCTTCACACACTTGATTGACAGGGCTACCCAGACCAGGTATTTTAGAAGGCGGTGCTTAAAATCTCTGCCTTTAAGTATTACACTTCAGCCAGCATACAAATCTATTACACAATGAAGAATTAAAAGCGACATTTTTCTATTTTTACTGCATTTTTCTCAGGCACTGTGTTAACAGTTTTTACAATTCTGGCAGCAGGTTAACTAAGAGAAAATATTTGATCACGTGCCTGATATATGCGTCTTTGGAGATAATGCATTTATCGAAATTCCCACCATCGAACTATCTAAACAATTTCATGGAACGACTGCATAAATAAGCCCTGGTTAAATCTAGTACTGTCTGACGCCGTGACGTCAGACAATAAACTGTTGATATTTAAGACCACTGGTGCTTAGACCGCGGTTACCATGGTTACGATCCGTTATTTTTTGGAAGTGCATATTATTAAGTCATGAAGTTGAGCAGGCATACAACATATATTTATATTGAGTTAATAATTTTTTTTAAAGTGATATATTTAAATATAACGTGAGATGTTTCGCGCTGAAATCGGCGCGAATAGTGTGGGCGCGAACCATCTTAGTGCGAAACAGAATCAGCCCGAAAAATCCCGGATTCGTGTACATATATTTATCCCGCTTCAGACAAATTTGTCGATTACTGATTGGATAAAAGCTAATCACGTGACGCCCTGAAATTTTCCGTATTACATCTCCATTTCCATATTACGTCTCTGTCGAGGCGTAATATGAAAACCGGGCACGCGATTCCGTTCGAAGCGTTGTTATTGTAAATAAAAATGGCGGCTAAGAAACGGTTAAACGGTTAAACGTAGGTAGTTCAGTTAAATTTCTTGTTACCGTAACGATATTTTATGTTGATTGTTATTGGATAAAAACTAATATTTTCATAATATGCACAAATATTTTTTTTATATTGAAAAAGGTCTTCAGCGGGATAAATTCGTTACACAATCAGTTAGTGACCTAATACGGATTCAAACAGGGTGTGAAATGGAAATCCGTATTGGGACTCGGCTTCGCCTCGACCAATACGGATTTCCATTTCACACCCTGTATGAATCCGTATTAGGTCACTAACTGACTGTGTAACTAATAGTATGCAATAGCTATTATTGTCGTGTGCATATCTCTGGCAATGTGCGATTGCTATTTGCACGACGGTCGTGTAAATAGATTTTGTCTTACGTTTGTGCACGACGGTCGTGTAAATAGATTTTTGTCTTACGTATGTGCACGACGGTCGTGTAAATATCTCAACAATTTGCATTAGCTATTCGCACGACGGTCGTGTAAATAGACTTTATTCACTATGCGCACGACGGTCGTGTATATATCATCGGCTGTTGCTTTACCAAACCGAAGTCTGAACAGGGCTGATTTCAATCAGTGTTCGATTATTTTGTGCAATAAACAGATAAATTCATTAAATCAAGGCAATTTTATTTTTCTTTTAACTTTTGTCGTTGTTCTCACGAGAACGTGGCTTTAGCTTTTGTGTACGAAGCAATGCATTGTTGGTCAAAATTACTGCGGCAAAAAATTTTAAGGAATGAATGTGCAGTAGTCCGAATTTTCTCTTGGCCCAGGTGTTGTCGTTAGAGCTCGCAACTACGAGCGTCGCTTTGCGATGCTTGCTGCGCTCACTATTAAGACTAAAGATGCATCTCTCTCATTCTCTCTGTCTGTCTGTCTTTTCTCTGTCTATCTCTCTCTCTCTATATCTCATAGATTCTCATGACTAATTTAATTAAATCCTCTCATTTTCTTTTAACAGGTTGGGACCACTCGCCCAAATAGGATACAATATAGTCTGTTTGGGATATAATATCCCAAATGGGATATAAATTTACAGTGCAAAAAATTAAAATTTTTATTTTGGCTATAAATATCATAAATCCACATCAGAACACTTATAAAGGAATAACATTGGTTGAAAAGTAGTGTAAATTTATATCCCATGTGGGATATTATATCCCAAACAGATTATTATTTGGGCAAGTGGTCCCAACCTGTATCAATGGATGTTCAAGATATAAAAGCACAAGTCCTCTTGAAATACTGAAATACCTTTTGCAGACTATCTGGTTCTCTGTATTCAGCTCATCCATGTTGTCGCCTGTGTGGCGCAGTGGTTAGAGTGCTAGCTGCAGAACTGTAGCTCTCTGCTTGAAAAGCTTTAAAAAAGCATAAACTACAAGAAATAATACCTGAGTGACAAAAATTGGCAGGATAAATCAAAGAATCGAATTTTCTCAAGCAGAGAGCTACAGTTCTGCAGCTATTAGAGTTCCTGCTTAAGAATCATGAAGTTAGGAGCTGATTGGAGATACTTATGTCAAAGATACAAATTGTATCAGTGTATGTGGGACATGGAGACTAGTCCTTTGAATGAGACCTAGTTAGAATAATCACAGGCACCTGAATTTTTATCAATAACCAAATATCGATAAATTCTACCCCCTATATATAAATTCAAGGTATGCAACGCCATTTGGACCCCCCCTCCCCCACTCGATTCAGGCTTCAATTTAACACCTAAATCGGATATGCCTACTGGTTTGCGTGTAGCATTGGGTTCAAATATGATAATTCTCTCTTTACTTTTCTTCCTAAAGTTTAATTCCAATGTGCTGATAATGCTTTCAACTAAAATTCATGCAAACTTCGAATTTCATCCCAAAGCTTGATGGCCATCAGCTGATGTCACAAAAATTACAGCTCCTCACTGAATGCTCTAACACATATAATATTTAATACAACAATTATAAAAAAAAAAAAAGTTATTGACAAACAAAAATCAGGAAAAAAAACCCCAAAAGATAATGTTGTTTGTTATCCTTGATTTTTTTTAACATATCTTAATAATTTATTTATATATTAGAGCATTCAGCGTTCTGTAACTTTACATCATTACAGGACAACCCTGATATTTACATACCACCTTTTAAATTCAAGAGAACTGAAGCAGCAGTTTGAAAATTTTTACAGCTTAGTGGCCCGTCAGAAGAAGAGAGAGAATGTAGTTGTACAACTTTAGCCAATCTTGTATCCCAGCCAAGTGCTGTAAAAATTCTCCTTCAACACAATGTGGTGAAAATCCTGGCTCCTGTGATTTTAGATAAAAATCCTGAGATTCAAGTCAAAGCCCTTGGGGCACTGAGGTAATAATTTTTTTGTCTAAATGTATAAATGTAATTATTTGATAGTTTTCTGTATTCTGGTGTATTTATATGTGTCTGTTCACATGTAGAAATCTCAGTGTGGATGGTGGTGAAACAGTCTGTCAAGAAATGGTCAAGAAGGATGTTCTCACACCTCTCCTGATTCTGTTTAAACAGGTAAAAGAATTGTGTCGTGTTACAGAAAATTTGTGAAGTGGTCAGTAATCATTGCTGAAATTATTATTATTTTTCAGGATATCATTACTAAAACTCAAAATAAGATCCCCTTTAAGGCCAACAAGCATTACTGAAAACATTCACAACTGCATAGAGTGATCTAGAAATACAATGACTCTGTATCAGAGCATTTTTATTAGCTCACCTGAGCCGAAGGCTCAAGTGAGCTTTTCTGATCATATTTTGTCTGTCATCCGTCTGTCTGACAGTGTCTAGCTGTCTGTCCATCTGTAAACTTTTCTCATTTTCGACTTCTCAAGAACCACGGGGCCAATTTTAGCTAAACTTGATACAAAGCATTCTTGGGTGAAGTGGAGTTTAAATTTTTAAAATGAAGGGCCAAGTCCCTTCACAAGGGGAGATAATCAAGAAAGGGCAAAAATAGGATGGGGTCATTAAAAAATCTTGTCAAGAACCACTAGGCCAGAAAAGCTGAAACTTATGTGAATTAAAGCATGCTGGAATAGTGTAAGTTCAAAATTGTAAAAATCATGACCCCCCAAAGAAAGGGTGGGGCCACAAAAGGGAATCAAAGTTTTACATAGAAATATATGGGAAAAATCTTTAAAATCTTCTTCTCAAGAACCAGTGGGCCAGGAAAGATGAAACTTATGTGGAAGCATTCTTGGTTAGTGTAAATTCTAAATTGTAAAGATCATGACCCCCGGGAGTAGGGCAGGGCCACATAGGGAATCAAATTTTTACATAGCAATATATAGGGAAAATCTTTAAAAATCTTCATCTTAAGAACCATTGGGCCAGAAAAGATGAAACTTATGTGGAAGCATCCTGGGGTAGTGTAGATTCTAAATTGTTAAAATCATGACCCCGGAGGTAGGGTGGGGCCACAATAGGGACTACAAGTTTTACATAGAAATATATAGGAGAAATCTTTAAAAATCTTCTACTCTGACAAGAACCATTGGGCCATAAAAGCTGAAACGTATGTGGAAGCATCCTTGGGTATTGTAGAATCTGAATTATTAAAATCATGACCCCTGGGGGTAGGTTGAGGTCATAATAGGGACTCCAAGTTTTATATAGAAATATATAGGAAAAATCTTCTCAAGAACCAGTGGCCAAGGAAAGCTGAAACTTAGGTGGAAGCATCCTTGTGTAGTGTAGATTCTAAATTATTAAAATCAAGATGGGGATGGACCATGGTGGGGGGTGGGGTAAGGGGCCACAATAGATATAAGAAGAGGGGAAATCTGGTAAAGAACTCCATCACCTAATTTACTCAGGTGAGCGATGTGGCACATGGGCCTCTTGTTTTTTTTGGACTCAGCATACTTTGTGCAACTGCTAAAGATTATAAATGCATTGAAATCAAATGTAATTAATGATAATTATGTATTGAAAATTCATTAAAATTATTTGAAATTTTTTTAGAGTTTTTAGTATCGATATGAAATTGTTTTAGTCTTGCAAAATTGATTTTGATTAATGCTAAACTGCAAGTAAATTTACAGTTGTTTTGTATTGTTTGTTTGACGGGATGTTATATAGTACGAAGGAATCATTCTTTCCTTCTTTCCTTCCAAATATGGGGGGGGGGGGGGGGGCTCTGACCAGGTATACTTTCACAATCTGTATGACAGTACTTATTGAACTATATAATAACACTTTAAATTTATTTTATCTGTCATGCAGTATGATTCTAACTGGACCCCAGAGAAATCTACAGGAAAGAAACACAAGGACTTTAAGTCTTCCATTTTTACAGAAGCTGTGCATATATTATGGAATCTGTGGTAGGTAACTTTTACATAACTTAGTGTTTAAATGGTATACTAGCTGGTATATTCTAATTTTTTAGGATCATAGTCCCCAGTGAATATGGGGTAAAAATATATTTTATGCATAAAATCTTTAAAAAATTATTTCAACAGAACATACCAGTTAGTAGTAGGTCAAAATGTTATCCAAGCATTACCATTTAATTTAATTGATTTGTATGCATCGTTATGTTGTGTAGATTTTATTCAGTGCAAGTTATTTTAAGTCCCTTGAGTAAGGTTGCAAATTTTACAAAGGATAATTACTTAGTTAACAACCAAAAAAAGTTGTAAACTGTACCAATTAGCATTAGGCTATAAACATGTTGTTAGATTAGTGTTGTTGAAATCATCAGGCGAGCATTAATTTTCTTAGTGCATGTATTAAAAATTCAATAAATGGAATACAATGTTCCCATTATCATGATTATGAAGTGATGAAAAAGAGACATACATGTAGCTGTGGAAAACTTGAACAAACATTTTAGGCTTTTTTAAGTGAGAATAGTGAAGAGGCTTTGGAGATTTTTAACAACGAGAATCTCTTGCCTGTCTTGTGTCCATGTATGCAGTACACAGTGTATGGAGAGGAATTGGCAGTCACTGTTGGTAGGGATTTCATTCTTAAAATCAAATCATAACTTGCATATAGTTGCTAAATAATTCTGATCTGTTAAAATTTTCTTACATATCTTTTATTTTGTAAAAAATGAAGACTTGTTTTCAAGGAGAAAAACCAAGATCAGAATATACTAATCTTACATTATCTCAAGTCTTAAAAAACTTTGTATTTGGCTGTGCTTATTTTCAGTATAGTTGATATTGGCTCAAATCAAAGTTACTGTTTTTGGTATCACATATTACTGTAGATCACTTTTTATTCATGAGATCTTTATTTTTGCATAATTATGCGAGACAGTATGCTCGCAAAAATTTCATTCTAATAGAATTCCTTGAGATTATATAGAGCAGTGATCACATTTCCTGAAAATGTCTCGCTTATAAGGAGTTAATGGCTATCTTGCGAAAATAAGGTGTCGCGAAAATTATGTGATCTACAGTAGCTGTATAGTTTTAAGTATACCAGACAATATATTTCTTCAGTTATATTTGTCCATTATTTCAGCAAACTGCCTGTATACAATAACGGAAGACAATTCCCCTGTCATCAAGATGTTTCAGGACCCAGATGTTCTTGGTCTTCTAAATTCTTTGATTTCTTTAAGCTCTGACTCATCAGACCTTATCCTCTTAAAAATGCTTGCAACAGGTAAAGTTTCATGATTGATCATGGATGATCTGTTTAGAGAAAGGACTCAAATTGCCTGCATTTATGCTTATAATTCTTTTATAGATTTTTCAAGCAGAAGTATCTTGTCTGATATTGCCCTGCAAACTGTGAAACTTAGTACACACTCTGTACTTCAAGTTTGCATGGCAGCTCATTGTCATGACAAAAGTCTTTCAAAAATAGGCCAAAGTCAGAGACTTCTGGTTAAAGATGGTCTTATTGTACAGTTTCCAAATATTCATATACACATTATCATTAATTGCATCATTGCATCTTTTTAAGCCCTCAATCTTGAATTGAAGGACTTACTTTCGCTTCCTGATTATTTAATTCTTTACATTTTGTAGGTATTATGGTAAATATCAGCTCAGGAAAAGCTGCAAATGGTTTAGGCAGTGTATTGAAATCTGTCTCGGAGGTATTAAAGCTTGAAGCCATGGATGTAGCTCAGAAAGTAGCTGGTGCAAATTCTTCCTTATTAAATGGTGAGAATGGTATGGTGACAGACGAGGAAAATGGCGCACCACACAAAATAGTCACCGGCCAGGTAAGAGCTTCGGATTCTAAGATGAATTGGAGAATACATGGGCATACAAATATATTGTAAAGGAAAGTTATAATGGTCTTGCTTTTTCATGTGAACCATGTAGCTTCCATAGGAAAAATGTATTTTTTTTTCACCTAGCTTCTTTCTGATTTGAAACTCGGTAGTCAGATCAAACTGAAAAATGAGAGAGTAAAAAGTCGTAACCTCAGCCCAGAGAATCTGAATAAAGAAGAGAATCTCTGATTTTCTCACAACTTAACTATCATGTGTTTACTCAAACAATATGCTACTGCCAATTTGGCACCCCTCATAATAAATGATGGGTATTGTATTACTACATCATTACATTTGGGTAGGAATAGTAGATTAAATTTTGTTATTTTCTGACAAACTGAACGTAATTAACTTTAACGCATACCGGTAGTCATTATATAAATGTATTTTACTATAAAGAACATAACACTTAAAACATAATTTTATATGGTCTTGCATGTTCTCTATGAAAATTCATTTAGTACAGTGTTTGTGAAGATTGTGATTTAGTTGAATTGATTTGATTTTATGTTGTGCAGGAAGAAGTAAATGAAAAATTCCGAGATGTTCAGAATATTTTGTCTGCTCAACAAGTTGCCCTGGAGATTGTTGCAAATTTATGCTGTGTCAATGGTAAGTTATTGAAACACATAATTATACAAACATTGATATTTATACCTATCTCAAAAGTTCTAACTATGTTCAATTTCACCGGAAATATGTGAATGAGAAATGTGTATTCTGGCAGATGACGGCTGGGAAGACATGGAGAACAGTGAGTCCAGTAGTTGTGATGAGGACGTCGTGTCAGAAGAGGCCATGGAGCAGGACACCATTGATATGTTTGTAGGTGTCTGATTAGGGAAATAAAACTAACAATTTTTCACAACACATTAGTTTTGTGAGATAGGCGTTAACTATCTATAAGGAAACAAAATTTTCAGAAAATTTGGTTTTAAATTGCATAATCGTGTGAAACAAACAACTGGTGAAAATTTGTTTTCATGTAATTTTGTATAAGTGTTAAAGATTTAGTTACATGAAAACAGAATTTTCACAAGCAGACTCTCTCACATAATTAGGTGAAAATAAAGTTCCCACTATCAAAAAGTGATTACAGTTCTTTGAAGTGATTATCGGTATATTAAAAGTAAACAGATATCTTCCTGTATTTCTGCACACTTTTGTACATGTTTCAGAAAGGTGACCGGGGACTTTTAAGTATTCATTGTTTTCTTCTGACATTTTTTTTTTTCATATAAAAAACAATTCCCTTGATTGCCTTGAATCTGATTTCTACTGACTGAAATTTCCCAAATCCCAAGATGTATGTTGCCATAAAACATACTGTAAAATCACATATTTTCGTGGGGTCAAATTTTCATGGTTTGAGGAAAAAATGTTGGTTCGTGAGGATTTGATTTCGTGGTTGAAGAACTTTTTAGTAGTTGTGCATACGAAAATTTACCTTTCGAGGTGAGCATGAATTCGTGGGTCTCTTCATACTTCGAAAACAACGAAAATTAAACCCCAACGAAAATTAGTGATTTCACAGTACCCAGTAACATTTATTTCAGGCAAAATATGTACATATGATAGGCAATACTGTTACATGTATTAAGTTTCTATTTGTGATCATTTCAGGTAATTTTTCTTTCTTTTTCAGTCTTCTCTCTGTGTTTCAACAGAAGTTCAGCAAGCAGTAAAAGAGTTTTGTTTATTTGACAAGGTAAGCATTTAATATTTTCATGATACAATGGATCAAATGTCACATTTTTAAAAAAAAAATTCCACCTGTGTAAAAGAAAATATTCTGATTTTTTTCCCAGGTCTGTTTAAAGTGTTCAACAGTGGAGTGTGGTAGTCTTCCTAAAAGTGTTACTAAAAGGTATTATTAAATAAGGAATGATTGTACTGGAGAGGTAAAAAAGGAAACAGATTTCCTTATGCTTATAATGAAATGCCAAACAAAATTTTTACCAGTACCGTGTAACTATAAATAAGAAAACAAGTTTCAAAACCATAGATATGTCTCCTCAAATGTGCACACTTTAATAAAAATGATAAGCATACAAAATGTTTTGCCTCTGCAGTATTAAAAAGGCTATAATGAACATTTTATAGATGAATAATTAACATGTATATAATGTATGTGAGAACATTCAAGAAGTACTTCATATGTTCTTTTGTTCGATTTACTATTGATCTTTTGGGGTTACAGTTTCCTCGCATAGCAAATCACTTTTTTAAAACACAATTTAAAATTGTTGTGAAGCAACTAAACTATTTTACAGTTTTGTGAGGTTACAAGCCCATGCTCTTCTATGTATGAACAATATGGTGAATAGTATGGATCTGGAATTATTAGGTGGAGCAGAGAGGCTACATCAAGTGTGGACAAGTCTAGCTACTCTCATGACAAATATTAAAAGTAAGTCAAATGACTAAGATTCAAATTGAAAAAAAATATCTTGTGAAAATTTAAGTGGCATTCTGTATTTTATCCTCTGAATGTAAAAAAAAAAAGGGTTATCTGAGTAGGAATGTGCGATTTTACCGGTTTATCGGGAATTTTTGTTGCGTGATACTTATTGTGATACGGAGACCAAAATACCGGTATATAGGTACATACATTTATTATATGCCTAATGTGTATCACTCAATTTTACTGTTGATTTTACGCAATCACCTGACATCGTGATCTGACTTTCCGGATCACCACACTGTGGTTTTCTGAATCCATATCACCACTCTCTGAAACTGATGATGTAGTACGCAGAAACATGACGTTATTTTTCTTGCGCGTTAAAAAGTCCCTTGTTATAACGCTTTGTTTTATGGATAAATATTATACAATTCATCTCTGAAGTTTTTTTTGCCAAATTTAGCTAGTTATAAGTGGGCATATAATAAATTTATCATTATAACAGTAACTTGATCCGAAGAGCCGTATCACGTCTTGTTGACAGGCGCAGATCATCAGATCAAACTCGACGCTTCGCGTCTCGTTTGATCTGACAATCCGCGCCTGTCAACTCGACGTGATACGACCCTTCGGATCAAGTTACTGTTATAATAATATACATGTATATGTATTATAAAGTCCAGGAATTATTCTTTTATATTTGTTAAATATTTCAAAATTCACTCACAGAAAGTCTAAAAAATGTTGTAAAAGGTGAATAGAATGGCATTTTACCATCCAAACATGATTGATTTATGTACATAAAAATATTAAAATGGTGAAATTTTGTTTTCCTAGTATATTTTTAAGAAAAATAAGAACTATTCATTTAAAATCATTGTAAAAATTGCCTGTAAAAAATATATTTTGGGAAAAAATCGTGATTGCGATTTGAAATTTTTGGCGATACCCATCCCTATATACGAGTCACTGATGTTAATGTACATGTATGTTTTTGTCTGTATTCATTGGCCTTGAGTTGGTCATAAACTTTTCAGCTTTTTTTGAAATGGCCAAACCAATTTGAACCATTCTTGGTATGTACATGTACATGTAGCATATGTGGGCAAGGGGATACTTCTTTTTGAGGGGTGGGGCCAACACCATCCAAATCAAATAATCAATGCAATCATCAAACATCTTTTTCTACCAAAATTTATGATTCTTGGCACCAGGATCAGGCATTCTGGTATTAAGGTCAAACTTCACTGGGCATATCAGACTATCAGTGAAAATGAATATTTTAAAAAAAAAACTTATTTTCTCCTCTTTTATATTAAGTAGGCAAACAAAATGCATGATTATGGTGTCAGACGAATGCAGGGTTCCACTGATCATATAGGGAAAATGCATAATTACATTGTTGGAAAATTTCTTACCTGAGCTGAGGCATTTAACAGACAAATTAAGCACATATGAGGGGTGATCAAAAAGTTCGCAACTAATTGAATAACTTCCATACAAGAAACAATATTTGGTTTTAATGTTGATTATATTTTAAATTAATCCTCCCCGATTTTAATGCACATCAACCACCGTTCTGTGCATGCGAGAATCACGTGATATTGGCGGTCACGTGACCCCCTCTGTAGCATTCTGTCACAAAAGTTAAAAGATTTTTCCGAGTTTTATATTTCTTTCCATGTGAGTTAATTTTTATGACAAGAACAGTTAATTTGTCAGAAATGGTCATATCTTGGCAACAGAATGGGTGGATAATAACATCCTTTCCAAAAATAAGCATGGTGACCATTAAAACACAATTCTTCTGTCTCAGGAGAGACCTTTATTCAAGGTGGATAGAGAATGGGTGCATCCTTTTTATCATATCTAATATGTTTAAAATCTAAAGTAAATGATATCTTAGGTATTTAATACTTATATCATTGTTCAAATATTCAACTATTTTTCAAAGTGCTAATTGGAGGTCTTTGATAGCAAATTGCTTAATTAAAAATACATATCTTTTCAAACTTGCTTTCACTGGGCAAGATGACAAGTATCATTTTTAACCATCAGCCTTCCTTCACTAAAACGAATAATCCAATCATTAATTGAATTTATAGGAACTCATTTATCTCAATAAACTGTGTACAAATTATTATATGATACTGTAGAGGGATTTCTAAGATATTACAATAAATTGTACAGTCGTTTGGTGAACGAGTTCGACTGAGACAACCATTTTTCGTCACAAGTGACCTAAATAGTGACGTCATTTTCACATTGTGACGTCACAAAAAAGGAGAAAAACTTTATTCAGCATATGCTATTTATAGACCTTGTGTATGGATATGTGTGTTCCGAATTTCATTCTAATTTGAATTGTGGTTTTGTAGATATAGAGATAGTTTGCGAACTTTTTGATCACCCCTGGTAGTTGTAATGAGTAAGAGTATTTTACCCATTTTTCGTAAAATTCATGACCACTGGATTGAGGGTTTCTGGTGCTAAGACAAGGTCCCATTGATTATGTATCAACATTTTTACTTTGAGAATCTGTACTTTGTATTTGTCTAGGTGCTCCAGGTGACAACCTTTTGTTAGATGCAACCACCAGTGCATTGCGTGCTGTGATTCAGAAACTTGCCAGCTCCGGCTCACCCAAGGTGAGTCGTACTGAGTTAATCCCTCATAGACAAGTAAATGTGACACAGAAACCATGCAAGAACATTAGTGATGCAACTACCAACATAAATATAATTTTGCAGTATGATTATATTTGTGAATAAAATGGTTTAATTAATCATTTAATAATTAAATATTTTTTATCAATGTTTGTTTCAGCTGCTGGAGGTGTCAGTGTCTGACCTTCAGTTTCTCTTTGACCTTGGTCGCTCCTGTCAGTCAGCTGACATCAAGGTCAACATAATAAGGGTCATATCAACAGTAGGCGTGGTGTTCAGCAAACAGACCGGTTCACTAAATGTTGATATTATGAAGGTAACTGGATTTGTAAATTATAGGCTTTAAAATCAAGTTGAATGTAATTTTATTTTATTGTGTATACTGTAACAAATACTAGACCTCCTCCTTCCTAAATTCTTAAAACATTTTATAACTCACAATTGCCTTCAGGCAGTTTGAAATTTACATCATCAAAAAAAATTTTTTTCTAAAGTTTTATCTTGCAAATTATTTTAATACTTAAGAAATAACTGTCTAATTTTTTGATTTCAAGATGTGATCAATCGAGTGGCTTGCGTGATAATTTGCATAAAATTATCACGCAAGCCAATCGATTGATCATTATCATGAAATCAAAAAATCTAACAGTTATTCCTTATATTTACATGCTCTTGATTCCGCCAACCCATGTGCAATAAGCCCCGCTTTGCATCTCTGTTTGTCCCACCCCGTGCCTGTCGATGAACCAGTATATTTATGTAGAAATAAAGTACATTTGTAATTTTATCTCGGACAAAGACATTGGAAATGTAAATATTTTCCTGTGAAGTATAATACAGTATACATATTGTATTTTGATTATTTTTTTTTGACAGAACATAGGCGTTTTCTTGCTGACCATTGTGTGTGGTGACAGAGACTTGTGGGTGGTGTCAGAAGCCCTGGATTGTATATTCGATGTATTTGGGGAGGATCATCTTGACCTCATTGCTCAGGAGATAGGGCTCACAGACAGGCTGTCCAAATTTATACCAGACATGAAAGCAAGAGTAAGTATTATTTATTTATTTAGAATTTATGGAGAAGAAATATGTTGAAATATACATGTAGCTGGATTTAAGAAGAATAGATGAAGGTAAAAAATGATTTGATTCGGTTTAAATTCATTTTTTTCTTTCAAATATATGTAAAAAGTCTAGTAGCAAATATACATGTACTTGTGCTGTATTTCAACACGTGCTCATTAATTATTGTATATACAGTAATTGCAGTTTTCATAGTTAATTATTTGTTTATACAAAAATTCCACCTGTTCCCACATAAAATCTTACCTTTTCCTAACTGATTTTCAAAAAAGTGGGAATAAGTAGAATAAACCATATGTATATTTTTATCTTCAGAGTTTGACTGGTTTCATGCAAACAGAACATGTCCACAAATTTTTCTTACAACCCTCATATATTTTAAATTTTCATTTCAGGTAAATATAGCTAAAAAGAAACCAGATGAGCATTATCCTGTTATTTCCACAGCAAGGACAAACCTGATTCGGTTTGTGAAATACAAACTCTCAAAAAAGAAATCATAGAGTAATTAAATAAAATAATATTAAAGTAAGATTGAGCTGGATTGTTGACATTTTATGAATTTTATTGATTGCAATACCTTGTTGTGAAGAGAATTGATATTGGTGATATGAATAGATTTGTCATGTGTTGGTTCGTATGACTATTATACATGTACAAGAATCATGTAGGTGCTGTGTATACCATTTGTTTTAATAAAAACTTTTGAAAAATAATGATTGTTTTTCAAGTACAAGTCTACATGTTTATTAAGCATGGACAGGTTTAAAAGGCTAGCATAAAACCAAAAAGGGCAGATTTGTGAAATGATAGTCTTTCGAAATTAATAATGAAAAAAATAATCTTCCCTCCACTTGAAAGAAATGAATTTTATCCCCCCCCCCCCAAACACACACATAATCACAAAAACTTTATGTTGGTTAAGTTTGTGAAGTATAAGAATAATTTGATATTAATATTCGTTTATAAATATTTAATATCAGATACATGTAAAAGCTAAAAAATAGGAATGTGAAAAAAAAATTATACAAGATATGTAAAGAATCCAGTAATCCTTTATACATAATTTTTGTATCAGTGCTAATATATTTTTTTATGTGTTATATTTATAAAAACTAGAGGTACTGTGAACACTGAGCTCACTAAATAATACCCCTAGCCTTGCATATCAATATTATGTTTAAGTCTATGTTTTGTTCAGGGAGACTCGAAAAAAGTGTCAGATCAAAATAATAAAATAGGACGTACACAATGGCATTATGTAACTAGTGCTAATTGTAACGGGGACCGTTACAGATGTTCCCCAAACGCTCCCCAACTCCCTTTTGGTGCCATATCCCCTGTAAGCTTCATTAAATAAGACAAACTCTATGCATTTGAGACTTTAACAACGTTTACCCAGAAGTGTACCAAGTTCATTCAAATTTTAGCATTGCACGCGTGTGCATGTGAATGCATGTGCGTAATGACCATATCATATTGTCTACACAATCTATATATTTAGATATACTAAATATTAAAGTGATTAATCCAAAAGTATTAAAAAATACGCTCATTCAAGTGTATTTTTGATTTTACTCATTTCACGTGCACGCACGTGCATACATGAGCATGGTGACCATACCTTCCTGTAGAAGGCCATTGCATCTATCTATGTTCTAAATCCCACCCCGTTTGGTTGAAAACCAAGGGAGTTATAGCCGTTTAAAGTTTCAGCCAAAGAGATTGCAGCACACGTACACGCACGTGTATGCATGTGCATGGTGACCATACCTTCTTGTAGAGGTCCATATTTATTTAAGCTATTTAAAGTTTAAGCCAATCATGCAGATTGCAGCGCATGTGCATGCACGTGTTTTCATGACAATTGCTATATTTCATGTTGTAGGATATCCAAATGTATGACTATGATAAAAATTTCAAAGGATTTCGTCAAAAAACAAGAAAGATATTGAGACTTTAGTTTCAGCCAATCGGAGCGAAGCACACGTGCATGCGCGTGAGATCTTGCAATTTTGACCACGTCGTCATGTCTATACTACTAATATATCCTTATATTATGAGTTTCAAAGCATTTCATCCAAAATTTAAAAAGTTACGGCTATATCTATTATATTGGTCATTTCACGTGTTACACGTGTGCGCACACGCACGCACGTGCGCGCAAAATGACCTTCGTTCCGCACATCTACATAACATACTTAGTGACCCTAAAAAGGTTTCCCCTAGATTGGATGAGTAGTTTACGAGATCACTCGCGGACAAAAAAGTACCGGAGAACAAAGAAGAAAATTCAGAAAAAGTATAAAACAACTAGAGCAAAGCTCGTTGCAAAGCAACGAGTAGGTCTTCCGTCCTGTTTGACCGGAAGTAGTTTTCATTTTTAACGAATATAAGAAATAACGCCCCAAAATTGGTTGAATCCTCAAAATCTATGTTAATTAATGCAAAAATAAGCCATTTTTTGCTACTTCCGGTTTGAGCGGAAGTGACGACGACGGACGGAAAATTTATTTTTATGTTCCTAGTGACATAAGTTACCCAAAAACTTGTCAACAATGACCAAAATACGCGTTTTCCGATTACTTCCGGTTTGGCCTGAAGTGACGTCATCAGACGTATTTTGATGACGTCGTTAGATTAAGCTTGACATTTTGAACAACTTTGCTTCTTTGATGTATTACAAATTCTTAATACTTTTTGAGATATAAAGGAAAAACTTATGGCCCCTACAGTCCCTTAATTTTAGGGGCCAGCCTTTTTTTCGAGATATCATTTGAAAGATCTTGGAATTCTACACTTCTTTTGTTCTATATGTTATAACAAAATATTTCAAAGTAAAAAGATATCATAGAAAAGGTTGTAAAAATTTTGGAATTCGCGATAGGACAATTTTCGGGCCATAGCGAGCGCCGACGCGCGGCACTTCCGATAAAAATGAAATTCATTTTGCACATCTATAGACTTAGGACTATCATACCTGAAATTTTCACGTTTCTATCTTAAGCCAGTTTTTAGAACGTTCGCGGACAACCTGACCCTTCAAAAATCATAAAATCGACAATATTTCCGGACCGGAAGTGACGTCATCAAAACGGAAAAAACGAATCAAGTTCAAGAAATGTTACATGAGTCCTGAAAGTTTCATGGAAATACATCGAGCCGTTTTCGAGAAATCGCGTGCACAAAATCGGTAAGAAAAAAAAGAATAACTAGAGCCGAGGTCGTTGCAAAGCAACGAGTAGGTCTTCCGTCCTGTTTGACAGAAAGTACATCTGCAACTTTCATTTTTCAAAAAAAATGTGTAATGAAGTCTAAAAATGATTTAATCCTCCAAATATTTATTAATTATTGCAATATTAAGCCATTTTTGGCTCCTACCGGTTTGACCGGAAGTGACGACAACGGACAGAAAATTAAGATTTCAGCTTCCAATGACATATGTAACCCAAAAACCTGTCAAAAACGGCAAAATATGCAATTTTTGACTACTTCCGGTTTGACCGGAAGTGACGTCGCCGGACGTATTTTGACGACTTCATTAGATAAAGCTTGACATTCTGAACAACTTTGCTTCTATGACGTATTACAAATTCTCAATACTTTTTTGAGATATAAAAGAAAAACTTTCGGCCCCTTTTGGCCCTTTATTATAGGGGCCAGCCCTTAATTGTTGATATTTTTAGAAAGATCGTGACATTTTCTACAACTTTTGTTCTATATGTCTTGACAAAATGTTTACATGTAAAAAGATATTGCAGAAAAGGTGTCAAAAATTTCTAAATCCTCGATAGGACTTTTTTCGAGTCATGGCGAGCGCCGACGTGCGGCACTTCCGGAGAAAAAGAGTGGTGTGTGACATATCGGCACACGTTGCTCTATCATCGCTGAAAATCTTATGTTTCTGCCTAAAGGCATTTTAGAGAAAAATGGTGGACAATGAGACCCCCTGAAAATCACTAAATCGCGGAAATCTCAAAACCGGAAGTGACGTCATCAAAACAAAAAATTACTTTCAGCTTTGTTTGATGTTCTATCAGTCCTGAAAATTTCATGAAAATCTATCCAGCCGTTTTCGAGAAATCGCGTGCACAAAATCGGTAAGAAAAAAAAACAATGATAATAATAATAACTAGAGCAAAGCTCGTTGCAAAGCAACGAGTAGGTCTTCCGTCCGGTTTTGACCGGAAGTGCCGTAAGTGACATAAAAAAGAAAGCAATGAGCTAAGTCATCTCCAGTGATTTTATAATTTCAATTTTGCGTCAAAAACCTTCAAAAAAAGCTATTTTTGGCTACTTCCGGTTTGACCGGAAGTGACGCCGACGGACGAAAAATTAATTTTTATACTCCCAGAGACATATGTTATCCAAAAACTTGTCAAGAACGGCAAAAATACGCGTTTTCCGACTACTTCCGGTTTGGCCGGAAGTGACGACGCTGGACCTATTTTGACGACTCCAGTAAATAAAGCTTGACATTTTGAACAACTTTGCTTCTTTGACGTATAACAAATTCTCAATACTTTTTGAGATATTAAGGAAAAACTTTCGGCCCCTATTAGCCCTTTATTATAGGGGCCAGCCCCTTATCGTTGATATCCTTTGAAAGATCGTCACATTCTCTACAACTTTTATTCTATATGTCTTAACAAAATATTTGTAGATGAAAATATATCGAAGAAAAAGTGTTAGAAATTTTAAAATTCTCGATATGCCCTTTTTCGGACCATAGCGAGCGTCGGCGTGCAGCACTTCCGGTGAAAATGAAATACGTGTGTCACATCTACATATATTGCTCTAGCTTTCCTGAAAAACTCAAGTTTCTATCCAAAGCCGTTTTTGAGAAAACTCGCGGACAAACTGACCCCTTGAATATCACTAAATCGCGAAAATCTCAAAAGCGGAAGTGACGTCATCAAAACAAAAAATTATATATCAGCTTTGTTTGATGTTCTATCAGTCCTGAAAGTTTCATGAAAATCGAGCGAGCCGTTTACGCGAAATCGTGTACACAAAATCGGTAAGAAAAAAAAACAATAATAATAATAACTAGAGCAAAGCTCGTTGCAAAGCAACGAGTAGGTCTTCCGTCTGTTCTGACCGGAAGTGACGTCAACAAAAGAAAGCAATGAGCTAAGTTGTCTCAATTGACTTAAATAATTCAATTTTGCGTCAAAACCTTAAAAAATAAGCTATTTTTGGCTACTTCCGGTTTGACCGGAAGTGTTGTCGACGGACGGAAAATTAAGTTTTTATGCTTCCAGTGACATGTGCTACCCAAAAATATGTCAAGAACGGCAAAAATATGCATTTTCGTACTACTTCCGGTTTTACCGGAAGTGACGTCGCCGGATGAATTTTGACGATCCAGATAGATTAAGCTTAGCATTTTGAACAACTTTGCTTCTTTGACGTATTACAAATTCTCAATACTTTTTGAGATATAAAGGAAAAACGTTTGGCCCCTCTCGGCCCTTAATTATAGGGGCCAGCCCT